TGAGTGAAGTACGTGGTAGCCGAGTCAGAGCACATAAAAGTATGCCGAAACCCACGAAGGATTAATGAGAAACGAAAGACTTGGTTGGGGCTTTTCGATACACCTTAGGCGCGTTCGGGTCGTAGGTTAGCTAGGTCTCATAAATGGGGCCTTAAAATGCGTTCAAGAGGCATCCAAGGAAGCAATTCTTTTCTCTAATGTTTAATTAAAACTTTAATTACGAAATGAACTGACAATGCTCTTAACTTACTGTGAACGTTCGTAAGTAAAAGTTGATCTCTACATTTATACTACGAATACTACTACGAGATTCTATACACAAGCAACTAGAGCAAGCTGAGACAGCACTTAACCAAGGCCGTGTAAATGATGAAACTTACAGACAAAAACACAGATGAATCTTGTCTTGCGTCTGTACGAACTTTTCTCGAGCATGCTCTACAATACTTCTAGGCCACTTGTGGTCCAAAATTTAAGTATATTCAATTAGGAATTATGTCGCGGCTCGCACTAGGTGCATCCTGAAAATTTGCCTAAAATATTCCTGGAATCATTCTCCACTTCACAATCCTGCAGTACTCATCCCACGTGTCCCCGTACTTCTCCTTACACCTCGCTTCGTCACGGAAGCAACGGTGTATAACCGTAGCCGTCACAAGAAGTGCTTCGGTGTATGGGAAGAAGTGTCCAGCTCCACAAGCCGCGCAAGAGGCCCAAGTATATAGGAGGCTTCCGACGTAGTTGGCGTGACGCACTATTCCCCACCATCCTGATCAACCATGTTAGAGATAACTCCCAGATGGATGAAGTGGAGGATGGAGCGGGTTATGTGAATGAATGAGGGCAACCCTGTGTTCGTACCTGAGTGTAATAAGACGGTGCGGTGTTTCTTCCCGTCCGCCGTCTGATAAGTTGCTTCAAGGAACTGAGCCTCCTTCCCCCAGATGAGGTAATTACCAGCCGTTTCTCGGCATTTGCTTTTCTGACGATTTGCATCGTGATTCAGGGCCCACCCCGCAGCGAAGGCAGTGGTCACGGCTATGGCCATCGCGTTGGACAGGTCTACCGGGTAGCGGACAAGATACTGAGTTTGGAGTGTCCAGATTTGTGGCATAATGGCAGCAAAGCCATAAATGCTGTAAAAAGAGAAACGCTCATGCGCCCCATCCAGTGTTTCAAAGAACCTAACAAATTAGAATAAGTTTGACTTAGTGCATTGATGCCAAGAAATTAACTAGGAGTGCTTACCAGTTTTCGAAATAAAAATACTCTCCTACAATGATCCCCCGGAAAATTGTTGCCATGATCATTGCGTTCGTAACGAGGCCGTGCAACTGATATTGAAACGCGACGAAGGAAAGGTCGCTAGCACCGGGGTCAGCATTCATCTTTGGTTCCCCCTGGTTTCTACTGCTTCAGGCCGTTTGAAAATGATTGGGGTTGGTTGCATCAATGGGGATCATAGATATGTCAGAGGGGACGGGGGACAAACATTAAGGTCCAGAGCAAAAGTCCTCCCGTTCGACTGGCATTGAAGTGCTTCCAATCAAACAAGACCCCCGTTCGGGGATGGAGCTCCCCTCCATTGAACAAGTCATACCAGAAATGACCTAAAGGATAAACATTAGCGCCAAGCAGCCCGGCATTGATATGAGAGAGGCCATTGCCGACCTGTGAGTAATGTCTCGCCGGCGTTATCTGGCTTAAGACGAGCCTTGACGTAAAAAATAACGATAAGTGCAACACAGTACACATTTGCGGTTGCAAGAAGATCACCCCAGTGTCTGGCGATATACGTTGGGTCAATCAGCCTGCAAAATGTCGCCACTGCAGTGATGCCAATGGTAAGAATCCAGGCATAAAATCCATTTAACCTGTACAACAGTTGTCTTCCCCCGGGAGTTCGTGGCCCCCGATGAAGCGGACCAGGCAGGGCGTGATACAGAGCTGCTTGCGAAAGGACCCAGGCCGCATACGTCGTGGTAGAGGCTATTGTTGGACGTGGACAGCGCGCTAGGAAGTTAAGTATACCGTCAGAGATCAAAGCTTCTGCGCTTGATGAAATCGAAACGCCAAAATCCTGGTACGTGATCCAGTAAAAGAGGAGAAATAAGGGGCACGTGGCGATAAGTAGAAGACTAATTGCTTCGTTCAGATAGACATCGGTCCACTCTTTCGATGTTGGTTCGTACATTGCGTTGGCGTCTTTTCCAAACTACCCAAGTAAGTAGGCAGACAATCAACTTGATGGAGTGCGCGAGGGTGATGGTGT